GAGCCGTGAGCTCGTTAATGGAGGCCAGGGTGAGCAGGAACTGCTCGGCGGAGCCCAGCGGGACGTCGGGGTTGGCCAGCTGTGCCTCCTGGATCTTCTGCTTCTCCTCCTCCGTGGGAACCATGGTGAGGATTTTCTGGAGGGCACAAGGAGCCGCAGGTCAGAGCCACAGGGTGGATGGGCCTCGTGCCGGGCGGGGGCAGCTGGCTCAGTGGGAGCTTTCCAAGGACACACGCAAGGAGAGGTCACGGGAGTGGCCACGGCCACTCGTCTCCTCCCCCGTCCCCACCGGGACTGTCATCGACAGGCCGGGCCCTGCCAATTCACGGCCAGGAAAAGCATCACGGACCATGGAATCTTGTCCCCCCACGTGGGCCTTTAACCCAAGCCATGCCAATGTCCTGGGTAGACTGGTGTTGCCCAAACTGGGGATCCTGACCCACAAGGGAGCTGCAGGAGGTTGCGGGATTGCCACCTGTACTTCTGTGCTGCCTTCAGAGGGGAGCAGCCAGAGAGCAGCAGCTGACGGCCAGGCCCCCATCCTGCCAGCAGCAGAAGTAAGGGTAGCAGTGCCCAACCCGCCCTAGAGTACTCGTATCCTCCCGCACCTGCGTTTGGGTCAGCACTGAAATTCCAGATGTGAGCAGCTCCAATCATGGCAGCTGTGGGTTTTCAAACGCCAGGACTGTGAAATCGACCAAGGCGGGCTGTGAATTTGGGGCAACCAAGCAGCCCCTGTGCCCAGCAGAGCAACTTTCGGGAGTGCCGACGGCCGGGGGCGCCCGGGCGCTTTCCTGCTAGGAAAGAACACAAGGGCCTGGGGAGCAGGGCTCGGCTGCGGGCGAACGCACTCAGCAGGGTGCTAAGGCACCCCCGGGTCAGGGGACCCCCACTGGAGCAGAGTCCCTGTCCCTGGCAGCCTGGGCGTCTCCTTCCAAGGGCCGGTGTAATGCTCTGGGCAGGGCAGGCTGGATGCTACACAAGGCCTAGGACTTGAGCAGTTCCCTCCCCCTGCGCATGGCCGTGCGGGGGGCACAGCAAGCGCGAGGCTGGAGCGCCACCTGCTGGGGACCGGGAGCCGGCCGGCCGCAGCCTCACCTCGATCCCTTCCTTGCTAATGGCGAACTCGTCGAAGTTGAGAATGGCCGTCTTGATGACGTGCGCGGGCGGCAGCACCGTCAGGCCGATGTTGATGGCGTTGCTCCTCTTGGGGTCCAGGACCTCTGTGCACTTCTTCCCGTCAGCAGCTTTCTGAAAGGAAGGAAAGGGGCTGAAAGGCAGGTGTGGGGCATGCGGGCTGCCCCGAACCCTGCCGGGGGCACGTCGCCATGATATCTGCTGTGAAAATCGGCGCTGACTCAGCAGGCAGGCCCCCCTCGCCACCTTCCCCTGCACCCAGGACCCGGGGCAGCGCGACCCCTTCGTGAGCCCTGCTGGTGAGGTTACAACGGGAGTTCCGGGCACGGCTTCACACGAGGGTGGGGCTCACAGCACGGCGACTGCACGATCACTCTGGCCAACATCCCCAGGAGTGGGAGCAGCTCCGGGGCCAGGGCAGCCCCGCCAGGCGCCCGGTGAGCTGAGCTTTGAGAGACAAGGCCCCTCTCCCTCCAGTAACCTCACCCTAACGCGCCCCGGCCCTCCGGCCCCGGGGAAGAGCCCTTCTCTCCAGGCTCCGCTCCCAAGGAACAGCAGCCCCTGCCCCAAAGCGGGGCCCGGCCGTGCAGGCAGGCTGCCTGCTCCACAAAGGGCTCCTGTAATAGGCCCTGGAGACGCTGGGTAGCCTGGGCCCGTTTCCAACAGAGCTTCCCCCAGCCTGCGTTTCATTCTGGACTCAGGCCCGGTGCTCCCCCGACTGGCTGCACAGCCCTCCAACACAGCAGGGGCGGCTGGCATGCCCTGGAGACCGCGCGGACTCTCTGCCCCCCCGCCGCAGCAGGGCAGAGGCCAGCGCGGCCTGGGGAGGGGACTCATTCTAACCCCCCCTTCCTCCCCGCCCTGGGGCTGCTAGGCTGTGTGTGAGGGCAGGCACTGGATCGCAGCCCAGAGACGGCGCTCCCACTCCTTCTTTCCTACGTCCCACTCCAGGTGGCAGGGCCACTACAGTCAGCAGGAGCCATTACAAAAGGGTCCAGAATAAGACAGAGAAAACCTAACGGCCTCTGTACAAATCCATGGGACGCCCAGAGCTTGAATCCTGCCTGCAGATGCGGTCGCCTCATCTCAACCAAGGTATCTTGGTGCTGGCAAAAGTGCAGAAAACAGCAGCCAACACGTGGCGGGGTTGGAACGGGTCCCGTCTGAAGAGACGGCAACAAGAGCGGGGCGTTTCAGCCTGGCAAAGGCGACTAAGGGGGGATCTGCAGAGGTCTGGAAAATCACGACCGATATGGGCAGTGAATAAGGAAGTTATTTACTGGTTCCCAGGGCTCACTAAACAAAATTACAGGGAACAGGTTTAACACAAACCAAGGGAAGTATTTCCTCATGCAGCGCAGTCGACCTGTGGAACTCCTCGCCAGAGGATGTCGTGAAGACCAGGGCTTTAACACGGTTCAAACAGAACTAGATACATTCATGGCTATGAGCCACAATGGGCAGGAATGGTGCCCCTGGAGGTGGTGAGAGGGGAGGGACCACTTGATTCCCTGTTCTGTTCCTTCCCTCTGGGGCAGTGCTTCTCAACCTTTTCTATAAATTACCCCTTTAAAAAATGGTAAGTACCCCCTTTTCAAAGCCGATGTGTAAGTACCCCCAGTGCCTACAGTTTCAGACACACCACATCTTTTTCTGCCATTGCAACACATTTGTTTAACCAACTTAATCGTAGCCAGGCGGGCGATGAAACGTTTGGGTGTAAAAAGTACAAAAAAAATAAAGCGCTGCAAAACTTAACACAGCAATTGAGTTTTCTCCCAATGTCAGTTGTTAACGCCCCCCCCCCCCAGGCTTCTCTGGAGCACCCGAGGGTACTTGCACCACTGGCTGAGAAACACTGGTTGGGGGCACCGGGCGCTGGGCAGTCGGACGCTGGGCTGAACGGACCTTGGGCTGACCCCGTCTGGCCGCTCTCATGTGACGAGCATTGCTCGGACTGCAGGCCCAGGGCTGTAACTGCCCCCGGCTTGGGGACCGCCCCCTTGAGGCTATGGGATGGGCGTGGATCTGTCCTGCCCCTTGCTCTAGGGCGTCGAAATCCTCCTCTTCCCCCAGGTCGGAGAAATCCAGGTCTTTGACCTTCAGCAGCAGGGGGCCGCTCTCCAGACGGTCCCATGGGAACTCGGCGTCCTTCCGAAAGGGGGTCAGCAGGGCCCGCTCCCCACTCGGAGCGCTGGCTTCTGCCTCCACCCTGGCCTGGGGGCGCACGGAGACCTGCCCGGCAGGGGCCTTGCCACGGGGCCGGGTGCTCTCCAGGCCTTGCAGCTCTGGCTGGCAGGCCGGGTCCCGGGCCGGCTCCGCGCGGCTCTTGGCGCACAGCGCGTCCCGCGTCAGCCCCTCGTCCGAGGAGATGGAGCTGCAGGGATCTGCGCTCTCCTGCGGGGGGCTGCTGGGCCCTGGGGGGAACCAGAGGACAGTGTGTCCAGGGCACGCACCTGCCCACGGGCCCCGGCCTCCCTCAATGGCCCGGCTCAGGGCTCTGGCACTGCACGGCCCAGGGCTGCACAAGGGCGGGGAGAGCTCCTGCCTCAGCCCCTTTGCCCCCTGCCCACGGGCCCCGGCCTCCCTCAATGGCCCGGCTCAGGGCTCTGGCACTGCACGGCCCAGGGCTGCACAAGGGCGGGGAGAGCTCCTGCCTCAGCC